ACATCCATTCCTTATCCATAATTCCTAGAAAGATTAAGGGAGAAATATCATTAGTGACTTTGACTATTCCTATATAGTGGGAGAGTTAGATACAAAGATCAATTAGTCAATAAGTCATTAACCACATGTTTGCACATTCTCTCTTTAATCTTGTTTAAAACTAAAAATTACATTTTAATACTAGCCCTTTAAATAATTTTGATAGCATAACAACTTAAAAAAGAGTTTTTCAGGCTTTATCCCCTCTCTCTATTAATCTACATGACAATGACAATAGTATCCACAATAATAATCACATAAAGTTATATTTAAGAATAATTTAAAAAAATTAATAGTATATATAATGGCTTAAAATGAGTATTATTAGGGCTTTATGTCTTTAGAAAAATCAAGTTATCCATAACGAGACTATATATGATTTAACAACAACAATAACAATATTAATAAGAAGCCTAATTTTAATTTAAATCCTATAAGCCACATCAAACACTATATATATATGTATATATTTAAAATCTCAAAAATATTTTTACATAAGCCAATTTTCAATCAATTGAAAAACTAGTAATGTGAAAATTGACAACTTAAGGAATATAAATCTAAATTAATCATTCAATTACAAAAAAAAAAACACCCAAAACTCCAAAAGATATGTGTACTAGTAGAGGAAACAAGGTAATTAGGTATTATACTATTTTTATATGCTTAATGAATCTCATCATACCAGCAGAACAATTAGATGATCCATTAATTCATAATTAAGCACCCAAAACTTAAAAGTTCAAACACCCACTAACAAGAACAACAATACTGATCAAAATAATTAAACACAGAAATTATATATTGCATATGAAAATCAAAATCAGCAATCCAAACATTCAAAATGAAGATTAATGATTGGGAAAGCAAGAACAACCTCAACAAGAAGAGGGAACGTTGAATGTGTAGAAAAATAGAGAGGCGGGTGTGTTGGACAATGATAGAGGCTGAGAATCCACATGAATGAGCACCCATGAGACTTATAGAGGCCGAGAATCCAAAATCCCTCAAGAATCGAGACCAAAAATGTGTTTTTTAACAGTTGGAGTGATGAAAAATGGGTTTCGATGGCTCTGGGTTTGTTTTTGAAGATGAATGATTTGCAAAAATGGAGAGCGAAAAATAATCTAAAAGAAAATTTAAATGCGAATACTTGACATTTGTTTTAAAATAACCGTCAAGTATATACTGGACGTACTTGACGGTTATTTTAAAACAAGCATCAAATATGTGAACAAATTTAATTTTTTTAAATTATTGATTTGACGTTTTTTTTATCGAAGATCGACATGTAAATTTTACCTTTATTATACAATTATTTTTAAAAAATATCAAATATAGATACTTGACCGTTATTATAAGATAACCGTCAAGTATGTGTTTTAATAATTGACGCTTGTTTTATAATAACAGTTAAATATTCTCCACCTTTTTTATTTGTTATTTTTTTAAATAAGCGTCAATTATAGAGCGCCAACTATCCCCTCTTCTACAGTAGTAAAGTAAGAGTACATGGAAAAATAAATGAATTTTTCATGGCATTATATTTTGCTAGAAGTTGAAAATGTGTAAATATTTTCATGAGCTGTGTAAACTAAATGATATGACCTTAGCATATATAACTGATGTGCTAAGATTCATAATGACCAGAGTGGAGTCCTAATATAATCTTGGAACCATAATTTTATGATGCACATGTTCAAAATTGTTTAGTTTGAGCTCTTTTCAGAGCATGATTTCTAGTCGCTTGTACAGTATAAAGTCACCTAAGGATTTAATACTATTAATGAAGAAAGATTCTGCATCATAGTGGCCAATAATAAACCACAGAGGTAGAGGCGTTATTAATGTAGACTTCCACACTAGCGTTTTGTATATGTAGTTGAGTGTTGAGTGAAAGAGTATTTCAATTTCAAGTAGATATTAATTTCACATGGCTCAATTCATCATAAATTCGTGAATCCAATATGCAGACACTTGCGTGAATCGGTTCATAGAGCCAGGTTTCAGGATGGTTAGTGTGTGCGCGTGTGTGTATGATTTATATGAGTCGTTATTTTTTCTACCTAGATATGTGAGGAATTTTTAAAGTTGCAAATCATCAATAATGTGTATTTCGAGGACACATATTACCTTTCAAACAAAATCAAAACAATTAATGACACATCAGAAGGACTTCGAATTGAACAAGAGATGATTGTTCATTTTTTTGTTGTCTTCGCCAATTCTCTTTTACACTGACAATATAGCCTTCCAGGTATACATCCAGCTAGAATTTATATAGGAAAAATACAATCATTGATTTATATAATTTTATCATATTTTGTTTTTAATTTTTGTAATTTCCCTCAGTATTATCATCAGTCCTTGAATAAAAAATGTGACCCAATCTTATTAAAATTATAAAGACTAAAAATAATAAAAATTAAAAGCAAAATTTAATAAAATTATGGACCGATGATTGTGCTTTCCCATTTATACATAAAAACTAATGCAGTTGAGTTTTTTTTATTGCTTCAATTTATAATTAATACCTAGCAATAAAATTTATAGGATCGATATTATTACATATACACTATATTAATGATTATTTATTTGTTTGCTTTATTACATATTTACATGTTTATGGATATTATTAATTTGTTTTCTTTACGTATCTGTTTTCAATAATTATATTTGAATATTTCCTTCAAACAGTACTGAAATCCTCCGAAAAGGCCAATACATTAATCAGTCAAGGGTTTTTGAATCTTAATCCGTTCAATGGATTGGAATAAAAGATAATTATTGGCCAAAAAAAAAACTTATAACTCAGAGATCCTAATTATTTGAAATCAGAGTAAAAGATATCCTAAATTACAACTTAGGATTATATTGGGAAAAAAAAAACTTAGGATTATAATATCCTGAGATTCTATCGCCAACTTAGGAAATTGCTTAATTGAAATGTTACTGAAATGAAATAATTTATAACTCAGAGATCATGATCGGTTTTTCTAGATAATAAAATTAAAAAGTTGTGTTTATATATATATATATATATATAAATATTTAACTGCTCATCAAATATATGATTTTTCATGGGTAACAAATTATTTCGAATAGTGTTAATATATTTTAAATAAATTTAATTATTTAGTTAATACCATAAAATTTATATATTTCATTAATTAATTACAAGAAAAATTTCAATTAATAATAAAATTTTCCTTTTGTATATATAAATATTTTTTTGATAATATGTTTATGTAAATATTTTATTTACATAAATCTTAAATATCTGCATTGGATATGTGAAATAAAAAACTGGATTGTTAATTCTAAACACTTTTAGATAAAATTTTACATATCAATAAATCTCATTAAATACATTTAATAACTTTATCTTTTCAAAATAAATATATAAACTTTTAAAAATACCCATCATTTAATATATTCAAAAGAGAAAGGATGAAAATTAATTATAGAAAGAGGAAGGGTAATATTAGAATTGGTACATTTAATGAAACTTTAATTTATTCAAAGTGTCTTATATTTTAGGATGGAAAAACTCCTTCAAAAATATCCTATAATTTAAGAGAGAGGGAGTATTATATACTTGATTTATTAAAGAGTTAAAGGTTATAATTCAATATTTTTTTCATAGTACAAAATCAGTCATTAATTATTACTCCATGACTGCAAATAGTCCCAATTAACCCTGTTTTTATTTGCTTTTGAAGATCCCATGATTTTATTAAGAGAGAATGACAATTAAGAACTTGCTAAGAATATTAATACCAATTACGGACCGTAAAATTTTGAAATCCTAGTTAATGACCATGGTTCTTAATTGTGATTAAAAAAATGTAATTTGTGAGGTGGGATTCATTATTGCCACTTGAGAATTCACTAACCCAACTTGAAAAAATTTGTAACGTATATTGTGAAAATATGAAACCCTACTTGGAAATAGAATGTTTAACAAAAAGTGTCACTTGAGAATTCACTAACTAGATTTGAAAAAATTTCTAACGTATATTATGAAAACATGAAACTTCACTTGAGAATTGATTGTTTAATAAAAAAATACCAATTGGATAAGTCACTTTTTATTAATAATTCTCAAGTGGGTTTCATTTTTTCACAATATACATTAGAAATTTTTTCAAGTCTAGTTAGTGAATTTCTAAGTGGCGCTTTTTGTTAAACATTCCATTTTCAAGTGGGGTTTCATGTTTTCACAATATACGTAAGTAATTTTCTCAAGTTGGGTTAGTGAATTCTCAAATCGCGTTAGTGAATCCCACCTCACAAATTACATTTTTTTATCACAATTAAGGACCATGGTCCTTAACTCTGATTTCAAAATTTCACGGTCCGTAATTAGGATTAATGTTCTTAGCAAGTCCTTAATTGTCATTCTCCCTTTTATTAATGCTCGCAGCTTGTACTATTATAAAAAAAAGGTTTTCACGTTGTTTTTTTAAGGATATTTATATCCCTATTGTGGAAGATATAGATATTTTTTTTATAATTAGAGAACTCATTTTTTTATTAAAAAAATTAAGAAAGTTTAAGTGAATTGGATCCGAGAGGGACCAATATTTATCAGAATTAGGGCATGAGTCAATGCTTAAATTAAAGCACTTCAGTTACAGAGGTATTTAATTATTTATACATGGCCTGCCAACATACTATCAATTTAATTGAACAACAATAAAGAATAATTAGGATAAATTTGCATACATGCAATTCGTCTACAAACCTTAAAATAGTGTGAAAGAATTTACATAAATACTGCAAACCATATCACCGACAAAAAAGTTTTAGGACTTCGAAATATAATTGAAGCATCTTAATTTACAAACAAAACCATATATATAACTGACAAGAAGTTTTTAGTTTTGCGGCAATTAAACAGAAAACACAATTATAATTAACCATTGATATAAAAATATAATGTAGCAAATCATATTGAGTTAACCATGTCTGTAAATCCCATAATAACACAAAGAGGTCGCAAAGAAGTTTTCCAAACACTGTCTTACAGATTCATCGAGCCCTTGAATTTCAATCTTCACTTCATAGTGTCTCCAGCATTTTATGGGAACATCATAGCAGCATTCTTCCACCTTCATATTCTTCGATTCCACTTCATTTCCATATTTAAACTGCGACATAGAGATTTCACTTGGCCTATGAGTAATAGTACTTTAAAGAAGAAATTAATGTAACTACCATAATCAAACATATGCGTAGGGTAACTTTTAGTCGCTAAATTTTCTCTCAATTTTTTTTTCTTGCATGAGAAATGGGTATCTTGGGCCTATCTCACTTGAATTGTAAGGACTTGACTGGGCATGACAAAGCACTACAAGTGTAGGCATCCCTGACTACTTAATCCACTACATTAAATTCTTAATATTTAAATTTGAGACCTTTGGTTAAATTGAAACAACTCTTGCCCGTTGATCCAAGCACTCATGGTTATTTTTCACTCTTGGGACAACTCTTGTTGGAACAACCTGTGGTTATGCTCTCAATTATTATTCAATCACTAATTTTTGACTTATTATAATTCAATTCCTATAATTTATTAAGTTAACAAATTACAGAAATTGACTTGTATTGGGTCAAAAAAATGTAACGATTGAGATGTTATGAGTCAATAAATTATAAAAATTAAGTTGTTTTTAGTCAAGAAATTATAAAAATTGAATTGTTCTGAATCAAGTTTAAAAATTGAATTGATAATTGAGAAAAAAATTTGGGAACTAAATATTACACTTCCCCTACTAGATCAAAATACAAAGATGTTATATAGTAACATAGTTGAATAAAAGTTGAATGAAACATATCTATACCTTTAAGTGGATCCTTGTCTCTCCGAAAGGGCAGGATAATGTTATTGTGTGGGGTTTTGGCACGAACCAAAGCAAACTTTCCAACAATTGTGTCCAAGTTGGACCATTTAGCCAGTGCTTCCCTGCTTGTAATTTTACATGCTTCAAATCATACAATGGTGGTAAATTGTTTAGTTGCTTATCCTGGCTCGGAAATATCATATCCTTCAAAATAAACCCAGTCCAACAAATGAATATATCACATATGTCATGCTTCAAATACTAATCAAGATACAGCAACTATATATAGCTTAAAATTTTAGAGTTGCGAATACCAGTGGTGGACCCAGAAATTTTAAGCTGTAAGGGCATCACATATTGACACAAACAAGGGTGCACTAGAAAGTAATATTATCAACTATCAAGAGAAATTCGTACATATGAAATGAGGGCAACTGACACATATTACATAGAATAAAAATCCTCTAAAGTTTCCTAAATTTGAGAGGATGCACTTGACCAACAACAAGAAGAAGCAACTTTATCTTACAAGCTTAAGGTCGGTTATATAAATTGTACGATGACATTATGTTATATTAGTAACCAAGTTTTTAAAAATATTGTTATTTCCAAGAGGTCTTGTCAAGTAAATCAAGTGATTTTGATTCATAAGCGACAATATGTGTATGTGGTAATATAAATGTATAATCTGTATGCAAAATGAAGGGAAAAATTGGAAGCATTTGGTATGAAATATTACAATATTGAAACCACTCAAAAGCAAAGCACATGATTTCATTTATTATGTGGTAAAATCATGAATGCTTGTTTAATCAAGTACTCTCAAATTGAGGAAACTTTAGAGAGTGAAGTTTAGAGGATTTGATCCTATTACATATATATATGTGTGTGTTAAAAAAATAGATAAAAGTTTATGGGTGAGCTATCCCCGCTATATTGTGAATAGGTCCACCCCTGGTAAAAACAATTACGTACGTACCTCAGCTCTGGAACAAGATATAGTGAGGTCTTTGAAGTGATCAAAGCAACCAAGAAATTGCTTCACTGAGTCAAGATCTGATCTGCCAGATGGCAATTTGATGTTGCCATTGCACTTGGCTGATAAAATAAACATCGGGTAAACCTGTAAACTTCCACTGTAGCAGAACTCCAGTAAGTTCGAAACATCAACATTTACTTCCTTTAGTTGTGAACATTCATACAATGAGAACTTCTCAAGGCTGTCATTTTCAAATTCAATCCCCGTCAACCTATTGCATTCGCGTATGTCTAGCTTTTTCAAACAAAGCAGGACCCATATTGTCCTCTTCAACCACCCGTCCGTTATGGTGGTTGCTCTGACCAGTTTCAAAACCCTGAGAGCTAGACATTCTGAGATATCCAATCTACAATGTCGTGTCTCTGAAGCTTCTTCATAACTAAACCGTTCAAGATTGGGAGTTGAGAGGACTATGTTTTCAAGTTTACGATTCCTCTTTAGCTTCAATACTTTGACGTGAGGATTATGAAGTCTCAAGTTCTTAGGCATGTTACAGCAAACTAAATGCAAAAACTCTACTTGAGGGACTACTTTATTGCATATGTTCTCGGAGATCTCTACGTTGGTGAGATGCAAATATCTCAAGGAATCACAACTAGGAATGTTAATGTCACATGCGTGTGTTTTGAAACCCTCAAACTTAAAACTGTGAATACTTTTTCCCTCCAATAATTGAACTGCTTTCAACCCTTTGCAGCATATTACTTCAACTTTCTTGAGTGATGAGGATGAAACATTTATAGTTTGAAAAGCATCACAGTGGTGGATTACTAGTTCTTTCAATTCTGGGCAAGTTATAGAAGCATCACAAAATAGAATATTCTTTATCCCACTGAGCTTGAGTACAGTCAAGAATTGTGATGAGAATAGAGGAAGAAGCGAGTCATAATAACTCAGATTCCCAATGTCATTGCTTATGTCAAAATTTATCTCTTTGACATTGTTTTGCAAGGCGAAGTTTAGTAATACATCAAATACTTTACGATGATGTTGAGAATTGGGCCTGACAATTTCCATGTAAGATAAGCTTAGCTTGTGCAAAGAACCCTTTATATGAGGGCCACGAAGTTTGAGGGTTTTCTGCACAGAATGGAAGAAGGTGTGATATGAAACACCCTTTGATAAAGTGGCTTTGTAAGTGAATTTTAGAGTTGGAAATGAAAGCCAAGAAGAATAAAAGGCTATGGATAAGACACTGAACTTGGCTGCTTCTTTATAAGGAAGAAAATGCATGATATGGTGGATGAGATGCTCAGGAAGATCTTCCAGCTTCATATTATTGTTTCTAGGGTTTTCAACTCTGCACATTTTTCTTGGTTGCATCTCCTCAATTTCCTTATATATATATATATAGTCTTGATCCTAGCAATCATATCAAACAAGAAATATCAGAAACCTCATTTAATTTATGGGTGCTCTCTGCAGAAAATGCATGATTCAAATTAATTACCAAATTAAAAAAAATTGAATTTGACATTTGCCCAAAGAACCTGGTCTCTTCATCAGAATTCATAAACCAATATTAATTGATGCACTTTTAAATGCTTTGAGACTTAGTATTGTGTAGAATGCAACTAGGTTTGAAGAGTCAATTCTTTTCCTCAGATGCATGGGGAATTCTTAGCGTTGCAGATCATTCGCTATGTCTATTTTATCTCAGAGGCTATGCTTTCAAACTAATTAAATCAAAACAATGGCAGATATAAAATGAAATGAAAAACATGAATACATATAAGAGATGATTGGATACCTGTATGAATATTATCTCAAAGATGAGTGTTCCTTTCTTTGCTTCGCCGATTCTCTAAAAGTACGGGCTTTCTATATTCCAGAGGGAAAAAAAATTGAAGACGAATTCAGCCCCTTTCGCTCCCTCAATCATCTGGGTTTTTTTAATATATATATATATATATATATAAATTGGGAGCTTTTAATATATGGAGCGTGATTTGCAAAATCTTAAATTAAATGAGAATATTTGTAAAATCTCAATAAATATTTGAAAATTTGGAAAAGCAATTAATGTTGGGATATCCGTGATCATGTATTTTTTTAATCTTGATTTTTCAATTGCTTTCTGATTTTTTAGATGATACTCCTAAAAGAAATATTGTCTTGCGACATTAATTTTCCTCATTTTTTTATTTTTGAATCAAATTAAATTAATTTAAAATATCCTTGATTGATTTTTTTAAAAAATTAATGTGGTTAAGCCGTCACAAATTATATTTCCAGCTAAAATTGCTGAAAATTTCAGAGGGAAATTTTACGTTATTAATATAATTAAAAATATGTTTTAATTGCTGCTAATATATAGATTAATACAAGGAAAAATTAATAATTTAATCATGTAATTTGACTCAATTGCAATTTATATCAGTCCATGACATTTAATTTGGTGCAATTAAGTCCATCAAATTTTAGCCATTTAATTCTTTGAGTCGGTAAGATGAAGTAGTTGAAGCACCGTAGAAGAGAAGGGAAGGGAACGGAGATGGAGACACTATCAAGGAAAAAAAAAAAAAATGGGGTTTGCGCATGACTTGTTTCAAAAAGCTACCCGAATTAGCTTATACAAATAATTAGATATTTATTTTTTTAGATTCTAATTATTTTAAAAATCTTAAATAAACACCTTAAAATTTTCATAAGTGCTTTTTTTTAAACAGCGCTTTTTCCTTAAAAAAATGCTTAAACAAGTTAGTCATACATATCTTCTAAATGATTAATTTTTTCTTAAAGGAGTAAAATGTCATTTTATATAAGAATTAATTTTAAAAGGAAACAACAAAATTGGGAAGATGAAATATTAAATGACATTAGAGACCTTAAATCCAAAAGATCAATTAACTATATCCATAATGAAGAATGATATCGGCATATCCCCTGAGCATCTAATGAACTACAAATATTAAATACAAACTAAGCACATAAAAATAAATAAGAGAAACTTGTCTATGCTTCATATGTATAACATATTAAACAAGCAAGAAGTACCACAAACCACATTATAACAACAAGTTTTGAAGCAATTCAAGATAACACAACAGAAACAGAGTCACTGACAGAAAGCAGCAGTTAACCAAGTTTACTTGAAAACATAAAAAGAAAGCAAATCATAATATATAAGAGATATGTTGGAACATTTGTAATTTAAAGACTCTGCTCAGAAACGTGTGTAGGTTATGCTGTCCTTAAGATGTTACTAGCCTCCACTATATTGCTGCTGGGTATCAGGCGAACCACCCCTAAGAGTGTGACCTAAACGTGTTCTGAGCAGAGTCTTCAAATTATATCTGTTCTAACACGATCTCAATAATTAACCCCATAATAACGCAAATAGGGAGCAAAGAACTTCTCCAGACACTTCTTTACAGGTTCATCGAAGCCTTCAAATTTAACCTTGAGGACGAAGTGTCGCCAGCATTTTATTGGAACACCAGAGCAGCATTCTTCACCTTCCTTGCCTCCACGATCCTCCGTACCCCAACTGCAATATTTTAAATCTTATCTCAAGAAAATCTCATCAGCTAATCAAGCATGCATTTATTATTATTATCATTTTGTAAACATGTCAAATATATAGCATTTATGTAGATTGATCTTGGCTGATTCGATATGATTATGATCTTTACCTATTGATTCGTCCTCGGTTTTCTCTGTGGGGTATATATGTCGGTGCTGTAGAGGTTTCACATGGTAATAGAGCCTGGGTTTTTGAACTTCTTGGAAGCCTCACCATATCATGAGCAAGAATCTCGAAACGAAGTAATGATGAGAAAAGGAATCTAGAGATCCTAATATCATATCTCGCAAGTAGAAAAGTGTTTTCTAGTAAGGAAATGAAAAATCTATTATCATATTTCTTTCTAGGTACATTTCTCATCTTTTCCAGAATTTTTTTTCCCGTGTATCTGCTTGCAGATGCAGTAGAGATACCTAGTGGGAGATTCATGGGAAAAGAGCCAAGTGGAAACCGTAGAAGAACAAATTCATGGTTATCATGCTATACTGTTGAGCCATACCAAGAAAGGTGGAATGGAAATGCTATTAACTCTTCAAGCCTGAGGACAGTTGCAGAAAAAATATACCAACACGATAGTAGCAAAGAAAGGTGATTACCCTTAAAACTTAAAAGAACTCATGAAATAAAAATTCTAGGATTGTTTACTTTGGGAATCTGACAATAGGACAGATTATGATAAATTTTAAATGTAAAGATTGCATACGGTTCCTCAGTATTAATAACAAGAAAAGGAAGCATTCGCATTTCAGATTCTATATCTTTAGAGCTCGTTCCTAGCTTCATGCGGCCAAACTTGATTATTATTAATATATATTAGCAAATTGACCAAACAGTTCAAATTGTCATGCAGTCTTGGTAGGTGTATATGGCATTACCTCCTGATTTTTAGTAAATCAAGCAATATTGCATGTAATAAAGTTTGCAAGCTGAGAAAGTCCTTATATATGAATTAGTAATCTCTTAAAGCATTGTTTGAGAGATTCACAATATGAGTATTAAAAGGAGAAGGCTACTAGGAAGGCAATATGATCGCACTATCTTTTTTTAAGCGTGTTCTTACGAAAAGCAATCTTGAATGTCTATATTTGTGAAATTATTCTAACTGGTGATGATACAGGAGATGGGGAAATTAAAGAGCAAAGAACTATGGTCACTAAAGTACGAGATATTGAATTTGAGTCTATGCGAATGTGTCCAACACTTATGGGAGAGCTACACTCAATTGAGCTTTACAATGTTCCAATCTAGTTAATTAAATTACTCAGATAACCATATCAAAAAAGGGTGGAAAAAGTGCAGGCTTTTAAATTGAAAGGTTGCTGGACATGATTGAAATTGGTATAGATGTACCAATTAAGCTTTGATGTGACAAAAAGGAGGCCATAACGTATTACTCAATGAGAGGTCAATATGCAGAATCAAGTATGTTGAGGTGGATAGGCACTTCATTAAAGGAAAGGTTGAAGAAGGGATATAATTTCTTCAACATTTATCCCGTAAAAAAAGCAAACAATATACAGCTACTTTTATGGAAGTATTTTCAAGAAAAATTTTTGAAGATTGTGTTAACAAGTTAGATAGTTAACATCGATGGCTTAACTTGAGGGCAGTTTGGGAATATCATTGACAATCAAGCATTATTTATTTATTTGTAACTATGTCAAGTTTTACATTTGCACGGTCACTTCATTGAAGAAAAGGTTGAAAAAGGAATAATTTCTTCTACGCATATCTCACTCTCTAATGTACCATGTGTTACCCCAACATTCATTTTATTTTCTTATTTTTCTTTTATCATTAATTTTTCTAAATGGGAAACATTATAATATTTGCGATATAGTTTTGTATTTTTATTATTTTTCAAAGAAAAACTCTAGAAAATTGTGTTGTTTTGATTTATTTCTTTTCAAAATCAAAAAAAAATATAAAACTACACCATTCCATGATAACAGAATATTAAAAAAAAATCTTTTTATATGTAAATGAAAAAACATACAGAATTAAAAAAAAAAAACATCACATGCCCAAAACCAAGCATGCGCGGAGAAGAAGCCAGGATAAGGTGGGAAACCCATTAAAAATCAAAGTATCTTATATACAAACTAATGATCAAAAAAAAAAAGAAAAAGAAAAAAAATTGAGAGATTGATGCATTACAAGAAATATTAGATGAATTTAAGATGCCCTATTAATTCTTTCTCTATTTGTTGTATATATCACGATTGGTGTAATAAAAATTTTAAATCAATGAATTAATTATGTGTTTGGATGAATGAGGATTTGAATTTAAATTTGAACCAAATCTTTCATTTCGATATATAAAAATTTATGAATTAGGATTTGATTCTATCCAAATACATCACAAATTATAATTCTTTGTAATTTTAAATTCCCTCCACACTCTAATCATTTGAAATTCTAATCATTTTAAATATTTTTGTTCTTTGAATTTTCATTATTTATATCTCTATGATTTTCGTATTTTTTCTCATTTTTTCAATTAAAAAATAAAATAAACTCATCATTATTCATTTCGAATATCATTTTATCTCTCTTCTTCTCATTTAAAATATTTCAAACCACCTAAACAATGAATTTTAAATAAATAAATTTCAAATGTAAGATTTAAGATAAAAGATTTCAAATATAAAATTCAAATTTAAATCCATCAATCCAAATACAATTTAAGTTAGTCCACAAATTGGATTGTAGTTACATTGATTTGCAGTTTACAATTGAGTTATAATTTCATATTTTAAGGATAAATGATATAATACAAGAT